CGGATCTAACGTCTTTGTTGAGTAACTCAGCACTTCCTTGGTCATGAGACATGACGATTTTATTAGTTACGAAAATCAACATTAGTTCGACTCAATCGTACCAATGCATTAGACTTAAGTCGCCCTGCCTGACCATCTCTAGCCCCCGTCGCAGGAGCCGTAGCGATGTTCTATCGGCATACGTACAGTCCAACCTCGCTGTAATGGCGTCGAAGTTGAGTACTGAGTTGTACGACTCTGGCAATGTGATTGCCGCCATGTCACATATTCGTCTTGGGTACCGTCAAAGGTAGGGTAAAATCAATCCCCGTCTTCCGGTTATTAATTAACCTATCTGTCACTTGAGCTAAATATGCAAGTCAAGGTGCGTGCCAAGCGTTTACCCTTTCGGTCCAACGGGCTACTGCAGATAATGAGAGTCAACAGTCCTTCAGCAATCCAAACCCGAAATCATATAAACGAGTACCGCACGTCAGACGCGTGCCAATAATAAAATTATCTTTTCGCCCATGATCTGCTCAATCACACACATTTGTGTCTGTAGAACTCGAAATTCAGAAAACCCAAAAACTTTAAATCTTGTCAAATTTGCAGCCGACAGGCAGGTAAACAACAGGCACACAAACGCATAAATGCTTCTATCCATATACAAAATTCTGCAAGTGTGCGTGCATGGCAAGTCCAAAAAGTTTAACTGTGTACATGCCAACACTTAGGTACCTTTACCAACAATAACGAGCTAAAATGCAAGAATTTTGCATCGGCGTTGCAAACCTTTGGATTATTTCATATTACTCGGGAAGAAACCCGTCCGAAATTTGAGAAAAATTCAATTTGTGTGCATTGTTGCATACAGACACATACATTTAAGCGATACCTAGACATAATGAGAGAGTATTGAAAGTAAGCCAAAGCAGTTTCCTGTAGGGAGAGCGAAATAAACGAGAAAGAAGGGCAATCTTCGGCGCGCCGAAGACCTAATACCTTTGCAGACCTAACCTTTTCATAATGCTCATAGTGCTTTCCCGTATCTAAGAATCACAGGAAAAATAGTTAATGCCGAGTATGGTTAAGACATCTGGAAAAACAAAAAAGTTTTCTGTACAACAACTTAATTTTCTACCGATCGTTTCTTTGACAGCTTTGAAGTCCGATGTAAATAAGATATCTTGAAAAACAAAAATATTTTCCGTAGTACAACTTAATTTTCGACCGATCATTTCTATTGCAGCTATATGATAAATTGGTCCGATATTGATAGGATTTTGCATATATATGAGGAGTATAGTAAAACTAATAAATGCCGAGTTTGGTCAAGATGTCTTGAAAAACAAAGCAAAATTTTCCATACTACAACCCAACATATAAGTATATGGGGAGCATAGTAAAACTAATAAATGCCAAGTTTGGTCAAGATATCTAAATGAAAAAAAGTTTTTCATACGAGAGCCTACTTTTCGACCGGTCGTTCCGATGGCAGCTATATGATATAGTGGTCCGATCCAGCTGGCTCCGACATATGTACTGCGTGCAACAGAAAGAGGCACTTCCGCAAAGTTTCATAAAGATAGCTTTAAAACTGAGAGACTAGTTTGCAGAGAAACAGACAGACGGTGCTAAAACGTTAACGAATTATAAGCTTAACGGATTCTTGCCTTTAGTTTGGTAGTCTCTTAGTCTAATAATTCTTACAGCTAACAAAACTCAACTATAAGACTAATGGCTCCTTGCCCCTTATTTAGCTAAGATCTTATTCTAATAATTAATGCTTATAAACTAACAACACCAACTAAATTATGACGTCAACGGCTCCTTGCCGTGACTTTGGGCTGTAAACATGACGGCTCCTTGCCGTGGATTTAAAACTGTGGGGTGGCCGACTCAAAAAGCCTCCTCACAACGATTCACCATTTGTGCTTCAGGTAATTCCTACCTTATGCGCTTAGGTCCCATTCCTATGGGTTAGGATTGCGCAAGTTCCCATAACAAGCGCAGGGCTTCTATATGCATACTCCGTACCATGCGTGTGGTAGTTTTGTGATTTTGGTGGCACCAACGGTTGAGCTACTCCTTACTGTAGGCCTTCATCGTTCTTAGCGACGGCACACTTTTCTGGTCCGGCACAATCGTTTTCGGAGCCATTGGCGCAGCGTTGTATTTTCCATACAACAAGTCATACAACAATTTTTAATAAACCGACCTTTTATTAATAATCATACTAATAAAAACAAATCATAATAACCTTAACAACTCCTAACAATATTTACAACTAGCTTACTAAACACAACAATATAACTCACGATACTTTTTTTTCAGCATGTCTTCATATACTAAGGGGAGAGAAAATAATTCCTAGCACATGCTTAACAATACTTCTCTGCGTACAATCTGGATAGCTGACAAGCAGTCAAGCGTCCGTCAAAAGTGGATATGTTGTGTAAAAAGTGCGCTAGATCGAATCTGTATCGTCCTGGAATCGAAGCTCTTCTTAATTACGGCCAGCATTTAATTTACGTTACACACAGAAAAAAGACTAACCATAAAGTAACTAATAATTCACTTCGAACGAAACTACCCTAATAGCACATCTCTTATCATATGATTATCCGATATAGTTGCGGATACTACCTGGCCACGATGAACAGATGAATATCATGCAACCTTGTAATACTGTTGCAACAGCCTGTTTTTCTTGCTCCACACACACACTGTGCAATTATGGGCTACCGTTTCGTGCCACATAAGACTTATGGTGAGTACAGCCGAGCGAAACTTGTTTGTGTACCTAAATTGGTTGTATTTCTTTGAATCCTCCATGACTTCAAGAAAGCCGTGTGGGTTTTCATAATGATTTTTTCTCATTGGACCACGCTTCCTGGCTTATAGGTTGTCAAGGATCGGTCGCATGCATAGCCCGCATGAACGGGCTTTCCTTTTAATTTTATATATATTCTTCATTAGTTTTTTTTTACTCACCGCAATTTATTTGTTTTTTCTTTTCGGCGCAATTTTTTTTATAAATTTTCAAATGTTTATTCCCGGTTTAAGTTTTATGTTGGAGCTGCCGAACATTGAGCTAGGGTTCGCTCTGGGCAGGTAACTGCCCATATGAGCAATCAGTTGAATGTCGAGGGAACCACGGCTCGCCTGTATGTACACTGAATGAATCAGGGCCGCTAGCCCTCTTGGAGTTGCCAATCTTGCAATTTGAGCGATCCTACGTTCTTAGTAATAACGTTCTAAAAAATACCTGCGCTGACAAAAATAGTCATGAACCCTTACGCTATCGATTACCCTAAATACCAAATAAATATTTAGGCTGCCGATAATATAAATTCTACAATTCTTACCATTGTTGTTATATATTTTATGTTTAAGCGTTTTACGTCGTTCATTTATTTCGTTTGTATTTGCAGTAGTGTTGTATAAGTGCGTTCGCTACAGATGTTGTGAGAGTAGTTTTTGTACATGTTTTTGGAACATGAGCCAGCCGGCAAGACCCAATAAGAAATAAACAGTTTCGTGACACAATACACATATGTAAAACTAATTGAAAATTATATATGTATATCTCTATATATAAAACTGTTTGTCCTGACTGACTGACAGACTGACTGATTGGTGATCAACGCACAGCCCAAACCGTAAGAGCTAGGAAGCTGAAATTTTCACTGTAGCTACCTTATGTGATGTAGGTGCACGTTAAGACGGGGTTTCGGGAAATTCCACCCGCAAGTGTGGCAAAATTGCGAAAAACGTTTGTATGTAACTTTTTTGTTTACCCTCCGATCGGCCTCAAACTTATTTTCAAAGATCTTTGTTCAATTTCATTTGAGGGGTGTTTCACACTTTTCGAAAAATCCGTTCCTCCTTGGTGGAAATGGAGGTCAAAAATTTGGTGGGTGACGTTTCGCGCTCAAATTCGTTTCCAAAGATCTATAAGAAAAATCATTTGAGACGTTTTTCACACTTTTCGCAGAATCCAAACTTTTTCGGGTGGAATGCGACTCAAAGATTTTTTGTGCGAAGTTTTAAATTGTGTCCGATTTGCTTCAAACTTATTTTCAAAGCTCTACATAAGAATGTAATGAATACGTGCTTCAGCGATTTGGGCAATTCCACACGCAACAGTGGTAAAATGGCGGAAAACGTTTGTATCAAAGTTATTTGTTTACCGTCCGATCAGTTTCAAAATCATTTCAAATTTGTTTGAGAACATTGATTTTATAACATACGTGCCACGGGCAAGGCCGGGTTATACCCGCTAGTCAATTATAAATATATGAATTTTCTGAACAAAGCATCAGAAGTTTTTAAAATATGTATCGCATTGTAATAAAAAGCTTTAATTATGATTGCATGTACTTCTAAGTCCAAAATCAGCTCACGTACGCTGTGTTCGCTTAATTTCTGGATTCTTTTCAAATATTGAGCATTGGTATTTTGCCTTTAACACAAATTTAGAGTTTTTAATATGTCTTGCAGTAACAAAAAATACGGCAAAATGTTACAGAATGTAATCTTGCTGTAAAAATTATTGTTTCTCCATGACAGTCATCAGTGTTCTGTTGCTAAAAAAATCCTGAACAACCTTTTAAAATAAATTTAGTTTAAAACAAGAAACTATTCACATAAATAAAGTTCAAATGCCTTTGGCACCGCTCATATCCAATGACCTTTCTGCAATAGAATTGCACTTAACACAATTTCACTTACTGCAAATGCTTGTTTGTGCATCCAGTAGAAAAGCTGGATTAGCTGACGATGATTTATCTGACAATAGAAAAGGGACAACAGCTAATTGGAAGTGGATGTGGACGCGAAATGTTTTACAAAACACGTTTGATTCCTATCGATATTTTTGATGCAAATGTCATATACGGTGTAATATAGACATCTTATCAAATGAGAATACACTATTTTTCGTATCTTTTCAAAGATTTCGTAATCGATTTTTCTTATCGAAAAACTGATGTCAACAACGTATCCGCAAAGCAAAACAATAACAAAAGACTAAGTACAAACGATATATTTTACCATTAAACCACGTTATTACGATGTCTTGGTTTAATCTCTGGGATGGTCTAAAAACAAAGACCTGTAGATACCTCTTGCAAAGGTATTTAGGTCAGTTTTTTGAAAATAATCTTAACTTGGAACAGTTAAAAGTTGATCTCTATAACGGAAAAGCTGTTGTGGAAAATATTTCATTAAAAGTTAAGGTAAGTAGTATATAGAACTACCTACATCAGAGGAGTTTGAACATTGATTTTAATGAATGTATACATTTACAAGAAAACAAAGTAAACACGATGTGAATCTATGTAAGTGCGTTTATTAAAATAAACGCATTATCATTCTTGACACTTCTGTGTTTGTGTATAAAAATGTCGAATTGGGAAACCTATGTTTGGATATTAAATATGCTCTCAGCTCTCTAGCATCTGGTTTTGCTAGAAGAAGGTACAGGGTATCCCCTAGTCGGGCAGTCCTATATTGACACAGAATCGGAAAATAAATTATTTAAGCTAAAGGCTAACAAGCGATTGCGTGGTGTGATCTGTTTCTGGTCAGTGTTTATGTGTATGGATGTGTATATGAGTATGCAAATATTAATAAATACAATTACGTATGCATTTCCAAGTTTCCTCAACTAAATGCGCATTTATTCCAAACATCAGTTGACAATATGGCACGCGCAGATTAGGTTGGTTTCAAATCGATTGCCTGGGCGGCGTAGCTGTTTGTGTTTTTTGTAGAGGAAGGATCTTCCTGACTAGAGCACGGTTTTACGTTAACATTGCAATAGCACAACTCCTAATATTTTTAAATACCAAGCTTACAGCTTAGCAGGGAATTGAATTAGATGGATATACTCACTTAGTTCTCAATTAATTGTTCTAATGTTGATAAAACTATTACCTTAGGAATCGAAAGAATTTTTACTTCATGCCAGGTAGTTGGTAAAGATAATCTAGCTAAGGCGCTATTGAACACATAGATGTCACTGTTCTTCTTAGACCAAATAATATGTGCGCTTTTCAAAATTTCTGACGGACATGGATTTGCAAATTATACAGGAAACATAAATTAGCACGTAATAATTCAACTTCGTCATCAAGAAGTGGCGTTTGATATATCACTATATAATCAGAGTAATACGAATTTAAGCCAACATAAAACGCCGCATATATTATTTATTATGTAGGGTAATGTTATGAATTTTCTAAGGGCACTAATCTGGTTATAGTTCCGAATCTTACTTAAAACATTGACAAGGAATATATCTAAAAGTGTATAAGCTGTTATTAAGTTGCAGTGCCGACAAAAAAATTAAATATCTAAAGTAAATATACAAAATATTGTTCATAGGAAAGATTTAAAAGCTTAATTTATTTGAAAAGACGACAGAAATAGCAGTACTATTGGAAAAAAGTGTCAATCAATTGAGTTTGACAACTATGTAGTTAATTAAATAATTTGATTCGTGTGCTGCTCGTGCGTGCACCCTGATCCTATTGCATGTGAATTTAAAGGGTACAATAGAATTAAAAACAACCTAGTCGAAAAGAAGAATATATGTTGCTAACAATCAACTTATTAAGGAAGACAACACTGAAGATTGTCCTAGGGTTGTTTAACGACCGAGTAAAATGACATCCGAAGATTTAGATCAGAAATTGCTTGTGAACAGGTTCTATTCGATCTTGGTTATTATACCATTGAAAATGTGTAAAAAGGCCAAATTGGTTTTGCCAAAGTAAGCTTCTCCGATAGCATGAAGAATATATAATTTTGATCAGTGTCAACAGCCAAGTTGTGCGAATGACAAACACTTCGCTCCCAGAAACTGTTAGAGCTAGAGAATTGATTTTGAACGTAATAGCCTTATTCCACTGTCCACATTTCTTACAAATTATTAAAAATTTAACATTTTCGAAAAATGTGTAAAATGCGGCCCTTACGTTTTCCCATAAGAAAAATTATTTTATTTGATGATTTATCGAGTTTTCTATCAATGTTGTGAAAAATATGAAAGGATCATTACTATTAACTGCTGATATAGCAACGAAGGCAAGCGGTAACTTTAAATTATAATTTTAAATTTTAATAATCCAACAGTTTTTAACATTTAAAGATGGCCAAATCCCGCTAAGAGTCCATTAAATGGAGCCCCTAATTCGAGGTAGTGTTTTTTGAGTTTTGAAAGGAAAACTTTGCGACGCTTAGGTAAATCGAAGCAACTCGATCAGTTGTTTATTTAAAGAAGCGGTATTTTTCCCACTCACATGTTGCCAAAAACCGACACTTGCCAATAGAACACCAATATCTGAAATTTGAAAATGTAACATTTTTTAAGCATAGTGGAAAAAGGCTATAAGTCGTCCTAAACAGTGACATTTTTAAAAAATGTGTAAAATGGGTTTTCCTATGGGAAAACGTACAGGCCGCATTTTACACATTTTGCAAAAATGTGACATTCTCAGAAATGTGTAAGAAATGTGTTCAGTGGACAGAAGCTATTAAACGAATACTATAATATCGATATGGATAATCTTTTTGGGCTTAGCAGATATACAGATATGTAAATGTAATCTGAAAAAATAATCATAAACACATACGTATACTTTTTTTAATGACAACTATCTACAATCAGAAATTCAAACCGGAAGTAAGTAAGTCATTACTTGAGCATGTATGTTTGGCTTTGTGTTTTCCTTTCTAAGCATTATCTCTATTAACTCTATGATTGTTAAATTGCAATTTGATTGGTAAGTACGCTGTAATTTTTTACCGAAATGTACCGATACGTACTGGTATACCAATATTAAATTCCAGATACTAATAATCAACCGAAAACAGGTATTCATAGAACCAAAATAGAACCTTTTACCGAAACATAAGTTTTGGTACGAACCGGAATTCATTTCTTTCATTTCTCCTTTATTAATTTTGATCAATAATTCTTTATCACCTTGCTATCCGGAGTTCGTCTTTTGGTCTAATGGTTTTTTTGCAAATATATATAAATGTGAGTAGGAAGCATCTCAAACCCCATAAAGTATATACATATATGTTCTTTGTCAGCATTAATATTCGAGTCGATCTAAAGCTATAAGAGCTTAAGACGCCTAGTACACACGCAATACGAGTTTGTCAAATCTTCAATAACTTCCCACGTTTTCAGGCAATCGATAAAAATAAAAATCCTATTTTTGGAGCATATCTCTTAGGCTTTTGAGAGAGTCTTTTACATGTAGCTTTTGGTATTGTATACTCAGGTAAAGTATAGTTAATATTTTAGAACATATATATAAAAATTTAATGAAGTTAACGGTTATAGTATATTTTATTTTTGATGTCTTCGTCGGCGCAAAAGTAATAAAAAATAGTGTTTTATACCCTGAACCCATTGAAAATATTTGGGTAGGGTAAAATGTATGTAACAGGCAGAAGGAAGCATCGTCGACCCTATAAAGTATACACATCCTTAATCAGCATCAATAGCCGAGTCGATCTATGTCCGTAGGTCCGTATGTATGAATGCAAAGATCTCAGAATCGAATTGATCGATATTGAAATCGAGTTTTTTGAGTAAATCTCTTGATTTATAAGAGCCACCATGTAGCTTTTTGAATAGTATATATATAGAGTATCTTTCATTTTATATCTATAGCCAGTTTTATTTATTTTTTTTGTTCTTTTTTTACTGAAATGGATTCGAGCTCGTGAAACGAGCTGCATTTGGTGTTGGTAGGAGCGGGCTCTGGGTATTCCCGAGTCGGAAACTCCAGACTACAGCCTCTTACTTGTTTTTTCTGCAGTCAAAGCCAGTGTAGTTCATAATACAAGGTACTAACATGCTTTGATGTAAATGATGTCCGTAAATAATAATAAAAGCAAGTCTTTTGGCCAAGCCGGTGTATGGGAACGCTGAACGATAATTGCTGGACACTCGCAGCTGTGTTATTGTATCCTTCTGCATACTCGTAGGGCTGTTGACTTATAGCCCCCGTACAAAAACTTAAATTTGGTCTAATTTTTTCTTTGGCAGTCCGATTTTGATCCGATTTTTAATATATTTTAGAAGCATAGTAATACTGATAAACGCTAAGATCCAGATATCTTTAAAACCAAAAAGTTTCTTACAAGAACCTACTCTCGGCAGTTCGTTGCTATGGCAGCTATATGATATAGTGATCCGATCCGGCCGGTTCCAACGTATAGTTTCAAACCTGATAGGCTACTTCGCCGAGAGACGGACAAGGCTATATCAACTATTTATGCTGATTTAGAAAAACAAATTTTTGAGTTGGAGATGTCTTGTTCTATGCGTTACACATTTCCTGACAAAATTATAATATCCTACATAAGGGTTTTCCTACAGAACACAACTAACAAATGATCAAATCTTCAAATTCGCTGAACACTGAAGCCGCTGATCCTCTTTGGGCATCGCAGAGGTCCAAGTACTTCAGCGATGGAACAAACTAACTAAACACACGAAATCATGCGAGGTAGTTAGTGAAAAACATAAATAAAAGTATCTGGTCATAATATTAACAGACCTACCGAGTCTGACTGTGTCCGCGACTTCACGGAATATTACGACAGCGACAATAGTGTTTTACTATCTCTAGTCAAAAGTGTTGGCAACTTACAGGTAATAGACACTCAGGTTCAGTTACTTAAAGTCAAATCGCATGTAGATTCAGATATGGACGCATCCGAATTTTTTTCTATCGTAAAGGCCCTAAAATTGAGTGCTATAGCTGTTCCACCCTAAATTTATAATTTTAAGGATGAATCCTGAAGAAATGAGTTAGGGAAAAAAATTGACGAAGTAACGGGTCATCTCAAACGCACGTTGTGATTTCAGAAGTTGAGGTGTATCAGGATGTGAAAATTATAGAATGCGTCGTTTGCGACGAGAACTTTGATGCCTTAAAATGATTGTCCGAATTCTTCGGCACACAAGAAACGTAAATTGGACGTCGCCAAGCATGAAAAGCATGAAATTAGAGGACCATCCGACGTGCTGATCGAATCTTAAGAACGGCTCTGAAATATAAATTATAAATTAACTGTCAACCTATTAGATATCGATATCACATGTAAAACCAAGTTCAGGTCATAAAGCGAGAAAACTCTTACAGTATATGCCGAGCTCTAACGACAAGATTATGGCTTAGGGATAATATGAGAACTTCAGAGGGTGTTT